ATTTAATATATTTTAAAAATTAAAATTAAATAAACCACTGATATAATTTGGTTAAAAACCCTATTTAATTGCCATGGTAAATTTCAAAGTGGTGCTGCACGCCTGCACCTGTCATCGTGTCGAGGTGAAAAACTTTTTGCTTTATGACTTTTTTTACCGTCAATAATTAAACGTGCATTTAGTAATATCGATATCGTGAATTTAAAAAAGTTGCTGCACCTGCACATGCGTTGTTCTCATGTCAGAGAAAAATTAATGTGCATTTAGTAATATCGTGAATTTGAAAAAACTGCTGCACCTGCACCTGCATTTATTTTTGTGTCAGAGAAAAATTAACGTGCATTTAATAATATCGTGAATTTAAAAAAACTGCTGCACCTGCACATGCATTTGTTCTCGTGTCAGAGAAAAATTAAAGTGCATTTAGTAATATCGTGAATTTAAAAAAGCTACTGCACCTGCACATGCAATTGTTTTTGTGTCAGAGAAAAGTTAACGTGCATTTAGTAACATCGTGAATTTAAAACAGCTGCTGCACCTGCACATGCATTTGTCCTCGTGTCAGAAAAAAAATTAACGTGCATTTATTAATATCGTGAATTTAAAAAAGTTACTGCACCTGCACATGCATTTATCCTCGTATTAAAGAAAAAATTAACGTGTCTTTATTAATATCATGAATTAAAAAAGCTGCTGCACCTGCACATGTACCTGCACTTATCCTCGTGTCAGAGAAAAAAATTTTGCTTTATGACTTCTTTTTTACTGTAAATAATTAAGAGTGCATTTTTAATATAGTAAATTTAAAAAAGTTACTGCACCTGCACAGGCAGTTGTCGTCGTGTCAGGGACAAAACGTTTTGCTTTACAACTTTTTTACCGTAATAATTAAGCGTACATTTTTAATATGGTAAATTTAAAAAAGCTATTACATCTGCACCTGCAGTGTCATCGTGTCCTGGTGGAAAACTTTTTGCTTCTGCCTTTTTTTTACCTTCTTCTACCAAAAAAAAAAAAGACTTTTCCTACCTTCAATAATAAAACGTACATATCAATTATAGGTTGAATTAAGTGATAAGTGAATTATTTTAGTTTAAATAAGATCTTGAGTTTAAAATTTTATGTACACAATAATTTTCGTTAAACGTGCATAAACCCTGCAAATCGGACGAAAAACCCAAAAAAAAAAATAATAATTAAACGTGCATTCTCAACATAGAGAGTCACCTCTATCTTTATTCGTCTTCGTCTTCACACATATCCTTTATCTCTTTATAGCTTTTTACAAACGTTGGACAAGCACTCATTTTCAACTTTAGATTGTTCACATCCAAACAACTCATTATTTGGGAACCGCAATAACTTTGACCGACACCAATAATGTGTTGGTTAGGATAAAACGAATTTAATTTTTTAAAATAAAATTTTAAATTTAAATTTTATAAATAAAAAAAAATTAAATAAGTTTTTTTAAGTTTGATATAATTTAATTTTAATTAATTAAACTTAAGGATAGTTTAAAATAAAAAATTTAATTTTTTAAATTTATGTTATTAAGGTACAAATAAAAAATATATTAAATATATATTTTATAAATTTATATTAAAATTTTAATTTTTAATTGATTAACTGTTTATTAAATTTTATTTCATATTAAAATTTATAATAATTTTTATAATTTTTATATATTTATAATAAAAAATTTTAAAAACATTATCTTGTACCCGCAAGGTTCCTAAATTTATTACATTTTTTTACTCAAATGATGATGTGTTTAATTGAGTACCACACATGCAATCTGATTCGTAACTAAAATCAAGTTTTTCTTCTGCCTCTTTATTCTCTCTAGGGCTCCTAGACGGCTCTCACATTCCCTATCTTTGAGTGGTCCAATTTTCGGAAGGATGCCACGTGGATTTCCAAAATAGGAATCGGAAAGGAAAAGAACAGAAACAAATCCAAGCAGAATGGAAAAACAAAAATCTGGAAATTAAAGGCAAAAAAGAGAAAGAGAGAGATGCAGAAATCACAATAGTGGTGAAGGATGAAAGGATGTGTACAGTAGAGAAGCGAGGGGAGGAAGAAATTTTGATAGTCAAATTCCGGCACGATAGTGCCCACCAATAAGAATATTAAAATTACTAAAATGGTAAAATATTATTTTTAAAAATATTAATTTAATTAAATTAATAAAAATAATTATTAATTATAATTATTAATTAATAATTTATAAAAAAGTACTATTCATCAATTATTAAATTAAAATTAATCAACAATTTAATATTTTGTAGCAGCATAAGTTGCTATTTTGTATTCTATTGTAGTATTAGATGAAATAAATTTTATATTTTATTAAAAAATAATTTAATATTTTTAAAAATCATTTTAACAAAAATTAAAATTTTTGTAACTTAGGCATGCTATTGTCCATCACATTTGATTAGAAAGAAACAGTGAAATCACCAAAGAGTTTTTAAGTCTACAAAAATCATC